CACCAGAGGCACCATCACCATCCCTCCTCCCTCGACCCGTCCTCCATTCCTGCCTCGACCCTCTCTCCTCCCTCCCTCGGCCCCTCCTCCATTCCTGCCTCGACCCTCCCTCCTCCTTCCCTCACCCCTGGCCCATCGGCCCTCCCTCCTTCGTCCCTTTCTCCTTCCTTCTTCCCTCCCTCTCTTTCTCCCTCCTTCCTCAGGTGGCATTACCTTCCTCGGCCCTCTGTCCTCCCTCTCTTCTTGCTCCCTTATCTGGGGATGATATGGAGAGTGCATTCCGTTTTTCTTATCTTTCTCAATTTGCGTTCAGGCTTAGCGCTACTTCTTTCTTTAAATGTGAACAAGGGCGAGTGCGTGCTCTCGCCCGTATGTCTTCTGCCTCCTCAAGATCTTCATCCGTACGTCTTCTACCTCCTCAAGATCTTCATCCTCAACATTCTCCCTTGGTCTTTTCTCTTTGGAGTGGCCTTATGATTAACTGCCCTGCGCCAGGTATTTCAGTGTGGCATACTCCGTACCACACGGACCCAGCAGAGCCCGACCTGGTAGACTAAGGGTCTGTAGGAGTAGAGCCTGTTCGTTTCAGCCTGAAAGCCTGAAACGAGGGCCTACAGGCCCTGTGTCGTTTCGGCCTCCAGCCTGAAACCGACGGGCCATTTTCAGGCCCTCGCAAGATCGACCTACCCTGAAACTCAGGTACCAGACCGGGATTTAGCTCAGGCCACTATGGCCTATTTCGTGGAGCGTCAACCCCAGGGTCTGGCACGTTTTGGCATAGGCACGAGCAGCCTCCCTGACGGGCCAGCACGGGCCAGCACTATATAAGGCTGACCCGCCCTGTAGGCTGCAGGCAGTTCCCAGGCACTTCACGTGCAGAGGGCAGGAGGTAGTCTTCAGGACTCGACAGCGGCACTCTGGAGGAGTAGTAGCGATAGCAGTAGTCTTCAGCGCTGGGCGCTAGTAGAGAGAGAGAGAGATGGTTGGCGGAGGCCAGGGAGACTCACCTGCGGCGCCATAGCTCCAGTTTCGTCTTCGATGTACCTGCAGCAAGGCGGCACCTTACAGGTTAGTATCGGAGAGAGAGAGAGAGAGAGAGAGAGAGAGATTAAGTTCTTCTTCTTCCTCCTCTAAGTCCACCATCTCTTCCKCACCCTCTCGCCCCCTGACTTCTCAGTATCTACCAGCTACGAGAGAGAGAGAGAGAGAGAGAGAGAGAGAGAGAGAGAGAGAGAGAGAGAGAGAGAGATGGGCAACATTGGGATTTGACGACATTTGGGTTCAGACTCAGCATCGGGATTCAGACCTTTGGCGAGGGATTATTTGGGACTGTATCGAAGACTTGGTGTTGACGACATTTCCATCTTCCMMCTCCCCTTCGTCTAATCCCMCTCTTCTTCGTCTGTGYATGATYGGGGACTGACGCATTMTTCCCGTGTGAGCGTCAGCCCCCTTCACACCATGGAATGATGATGATGCATGTTTGGTCTGCATGGCAGCTTGATTGATCGGATCATCGGTATCTAAGCCTTCCGTTGTGCTATCTTGTATCTGGCGATAAAGGTCGGTTCTTGGTCTGGTCTGTACCGTTAGGGTATGCAACAGTTTGGTATCGGAGCGGACCTTTTTCATCAAGATCCGCCCAATCAAGTAGTCAGCTTGCTGACTGATTGATGGATTGATTAGTAAATCAAGTTGGGTTTCGTCAAAATCTCTGCAAATCTTTTTTTTTTTTTTTTTCACAACTTCGGATATTAGCATTTCGTTTTATCCGAAAATTCCTGGTATTTGCATTTCGTTTTCACGCAACAAATATCCGAAAATTTCTGATAATAACATTTCGTTTTATCTGAAAAGTTCCGATATTTGCACTTCATTTTTTTTTATGTAACAAATATCCGAAAATTTGTGATAGTAGCATGTCGTTTTCTGACGTTAGCATCTCGTTTTCTAGGCATATTAGGGTTACGACGAAGGTTGTCATATTCGGGGAAACGGAATTTATTCTTTTCTGAAAATTGAATCTCCATTCTACTTCGCAAAAAGTTGCCCTCTGAAAGCCGAAATTTTGCGAAGCCTATCAGCAGTTTGTTGCTAAACACAATAGGAGGTTGTCATATTCTCGGAAACTGAATTTATTCTTTTGCTGAAAATCGAACCTTTATCCTACTTTGCCTAGATCTCACTCATAGCATTGTCCGAAAGATGCCTCACTGATAACAGATCGACAGATATACAAAAAAAAAAGAAAAAAAAGAGGGGTGATCCGCTTCTTTTTTATTTTTTATTTTTTATTATTATTCTATTCTGTTGATTAGGACCGGCATGGACATTGCAGTTTGGTTGTTTGCCTGCGTTTCCCTCCCACCGAGCCCCCTCTTTGTCTTCTCGGCTTGGTAAGTGCCACCTCAGCAGGCCACGACAGTTGCAGTGCGGCGTCAGCAGGGTCACGCCAGTGCAGTATCACTTCAGCAGTGCCATGTCAGCAGCAGGGCCACATCAGCAGTACCGCGTCATTGACACCGTACAGCTAACTGCAGCTTATGCTCCGACGCAGCAACCGCATTGCAGCACGTGAAGGGCGGGCAGCCGCAGCAGAACAGCAGCTACCTCTGCCCCACCCCCCTGAAATGGACACTCAGGGCAACCCCACGGTGGACAATGCCGCATCCGGCAGTCCACGGGAGGCGTGCAGCTCGAACCCCCCGGCCCCACAGACCCAACAGGAGGGTTCCACTGCGACTTCTGTGGGAACCCTCGACGCTGCACCAGTCCGGCAGCTAGGAGAGACCATGACGGCCTTCCTGGCCCGCCTGGGCACCTATATGCAGCAAGTCCAAGAGGAGCAGCAATGCGAGGCGGCAGCCGAAGCAGCACGCCTTAATGCCATTGCACGCGCAGAAGAGCAACGACGCCGGCAGCAAGCTGATGGAGCTGCCAACCACAACAAAGCTCGAAGAGATGCCGCGTCTGTCCTCATGCAGCAGGAAGCCGCTCATACCGCCGCACTCCAAGCATGGCATGTTGATCCGGCGGAAACGACGGAACCAACCACGGAGGACCGGACTAAGTCAGCTCTCGCGAGCATGATGCACCAAGTCATCCTCACTTGTAACTGGCAACAAGTGGAGCTGGCTCGGTAGGCACGTACCATTACTGAGTACGAGGAGACTCTCAAGAGCCTCCACGCCCGCCTTGACATGCTGGAGAAGGATGACGTGCCGCACAGGCACACGGCATCGTCAAGCAATGATCCATCGATCCGCGAGCTGGAAGGACGGCTGGATCAACTAGTCGCGCTTATCGGCGACATCAACAGTTTCCGACACCCGACGACCATCAGCCAGCAAATAGCCGCCCTACAAGCAGACCTGCGTCAACTGCAGCAGCAACCAACTGGGACCTGCAGCATGATGCCCCAAGTCATCCTCACTTGTAACTGGCAACAAGTGGAGCTGGCTCGGCAGGCACGTACCATTACTGAGTACGAGGAGACTCTCAAGAGCCTCCACGCCCGCCTTGACATGCTGGAGAAGGATGGCGTGCCGCACAGGCACACGGCATCGTCAAGCATTGATCCATCGATCCGCGAGCTGGAAGGACGGCTGGATCAACTAGTCGCGCTTATCGGCAACTTCAACAGTTTCCGACACCCGACGACCATCAGCCAGCAAATAGCCGCCCTTCAAGCAGACCTGCGTCAACTGCAGCAGCAACCAACTGGGACCTGCAACAAATTGACACCGAGACAGTACAAGATGCCGAAGTTCAGCATCGACAAGTTTGATGACTATCACAAGGCGGACCTCATCAGTTGGTGGCAAGGGTTCACCAATGAGCTCTCCATCCACTTGGTCCCGCCCGAGTCGAAGATCTCAGCGCTTTACCTTTGCAGCACCGGTGCCAACCAAGTGTGGCTCAACCACCTGGCTCAAACCGAGGGCGTCGAAGTATCTAAGCTTCACACCAAGATCACTTCGGAGGCCATGACTAAGAAGTGGCAGAAATGCTTCATCGTCGACGACGCTCAGGGCAAAGGCGTGAACCGGATCTTCAGCATGCATCAAGGCAGCCAGCCAACACGCGAATGGCTAAACGAGTGACAGAAAATCGTGACGATTCCAAATTTGGACATCCCATTCGTACATCTTCGTCGCGAATTCTTCCAGCGGTCAGTTGACACGTTGAGCACGGCCCTTGGGGAGCGCAGCCTGTACACGGACTTCGACCAGATCGTGGAGAAGGCGCGCGAAGTCGTCCAAACCAATCGGTGGGCAGCCAACGAGCGGCGAAGCCAACCGAATTTTGTGGAAAAGGGCAAAGGCCCGCGGCCGCAGCAAGTCACTGCTGTCCAAGGAAATTGACAAGAGAACGACCAGGCGATGACTCACGAGTCTAGTGAAGGAGACAGAGTCAACGCCCTTCTACCACGACGCAACAACAACAACAACAACAAGAAGGCAAAATCTGCGTTAACAACGGAAGGCGGACAACCGAATGAGCCATGGAAGAAGTTCAGCCTCACGGAGGAGCAATACAAACTCCGCCAGAGGTGGAGCTGTTGCTACTGGTGCAACAACACCAAGCATACGACGTCGCAATGCCCTGACAAAGGCAAAGAAGACATTCGTCCACGGCAAAGCTCGGGAAACTGAGCTTCGCGGGAAGTGAGGCGACTCCACTTCCTACTCCGCCGGACACGGTTGCCTTGCTAACAACCTCCTCCACGTCCGGGGAACATGCGTATGTCGCCAGTCTTCATGAAGATTGTGAATATTATGTTGTCCAGCTGGTCCCGCCGTTGGACCAACCTCTCCACGTGCAAGAGTCTTATGCGTGCGCGACTTCATCACCATCGCCAAGTGAACCAGCATCCTCGCCAACATCACTCGGGGACTTGTCGGTGTGGTCTAGACTGGAGGAACTCGACCCATTGACACCGGAGGACTTCCAATGGTTGCCTCTTCCCCCATCTGGTTCCTTGCCGAAGCCGCATTGCAACGCCCTAATGGCGGAGCCACGCAACTACTTGCACGCTGCAGTACCAGCTTCGTTGATGGAAGACGGAGTAGCGGTTGTTGACCTTTGCGAGTACATTGCGAAGATTGACCGCGAGTACGCCACGCAATGGTACGACGACAACGACGCGCCGTTGCTCTACGTCCGCATTCAGATCGGGAAGGCAACCTGCAGCGCCTTGATTGATTGTGGAGCTACTCGCAACTACATCAGCCAGGATTTCATGACCCGCGCCGGCCTTGGGCCGCGCGTTCGAAGGAAATCGCAGCCCACGCAAGTCACGTTGGTCGACAGTCGTACGAACAAGTCCATCGACCGGTGCATTGACTCAGTCCTCGTGTACTTCGCCCCGCTTGCACGAGAGGCCGTGTCCTTTGACATATTGGACACAAAGTTCGACATGATCTTGGGCATGTCATGGCTGCGCAGCGAGGACCACCCGGTGAACTTCTACCGCCGCACCGTTCACGTTCGTAATCGGAACGAGGTACTTGTGCCATGTACGATCCCCCCACCTCATCCTTCGATTGGTTGTCACGCGGTCTCCGCAGCAAGCATTCGCAACTCCATCACACGGAACGACGTGGAGGAAATGGGCATTTGTTTCTTGCACGCCCTCCCTCCTCCCGACGAGCCTGCGGCGGAACAGCCACCGGATCCACGCATTGTATAACTTCTTGACTCCTATGGTGACGTCTTTGAAGCCCCCGCCGGAATCGTATCGAATCGGCCAATTCGTCGCGAGATCAACCTCGAAGACGGGGCCGTACCTCCGCGCGGATGTATTTACGGCATGAGCGAGGAGGAACTCGAAGTGCTTCGAACGCAACTCGATGACCTCATTGACAAGGGCTGGATTCGCCCTAGCTGCTCGCCCTACGGTGCACCTGTGCTCTTCGTTCGGAAGAAGAACAAGGAGTTGCGCTTATGTATTGACTATCGCAAGCTTAATGCTCAAACCATTAAGAATGTCGGCCCGCTTCCACGCATCGGTGATCTTCTAGAACGCTTGGGCGGCGCCAAGTATTTCTCCAAGTTGGACCTCAAGGCCGATTACCACCAGCTCGAGATCCATCCAAGAGATAGGTACAAAACCGCGTTCAAGACATGGTACGGGCACTTCGAGTGGGTCGTAATGCCATTCGGCCTCACGAATGCCCCGACCACCTTCCAAGCGGCAATTACAACGGAGTTTCGCGACATGTTGGACCGGTTCGTGCTCATCTACCTCGATGACATCTTGGTGTATAGTCGAACTTTGGACGAGCACATCGTGCTGTTTTGGACAGGCTTCGTACGGCCAAGTACAAGGCCAACCGAGCCAAGTGCGAATTCGCACAACAAGAGCTTGAGTACTTGGGCCACTTTGTGACGTGGCAAGGCATTCGTCCGCTTGCGGACAAGATCAAGGTCATTCAGGATTGGTCGGAACCGACCAACACCACGGAGGTTCGCTCTTTTATGGGATTGGCCGGGTACTACCAACGYTTCATCGGAGGATACGCACGGATCGCCGCACCTTTGTCCAGATTGCAGTCTCCACAGGTGCCCTTCCAGTTCACCGACGAAGTCCGCAGTTCGTT